TGTTTTGTTTTTATTTTTTATTTTAGTATAAACGTGAACAAGATATTGTAGATGATTTAAATCGTATGTTTACTAATGCAAAAACTTATAACGTTGATGAATCATATATATACAAAAATGCTTGTCAACTTGAATGTGTATTAAGAAATAAATATAAAAAATTAATGAATAAAAAAGAAAAATTTATTAAAAATTTAGTGTCAAATCGTACAGTTAATCAAGGAATAATAAAAAAGTAAAAAACCGAAATAAAACAATATGTTTTTCTTTTTTCTATAAGATTTTTCTTTTATTTTTCAGATCTTTAAATTCTTCATCATCGAATACAATAAATGATAAATTAAATAATTTAATTCAAACAATAAAAACTTATACAGATCATCATGGACGAATATTATCTACAGTATTTTTAACATTACCATCAAAAATTGATTATCCAGATTATTATGAAATAATTCAACGACCAATTGATCTTAAACGTATTGAATCACGTCAATACTCATCAATTAATGATTTATCTAATGATTTACAACTAATGTTAGATAATGCTTGTTTATATAATGAACCTGGTTCAACTATTTATCGAGTATGAAAAATATTGAGTCTGCTTTCTCAAAAATACATCGGAAAGACACTTTCTCTATGGAATGATGTATACAATATCGAGTTTTATATTGCGTACCGTTGCTATGTCAACAGTATGTAGTAATGGATTGATACTGTATATATGTCGTTAGATAGAAGAAGTTTTTCTCCATCTATCTCTTTCTATAGTCAAAAATCATCGAAAAATTTATACGTATTTTTTCAAGATGTTCTAAGGCTGTAGTAGAGAGACTATGCGAAAATTTTCAGCTTTATATCATCACATATTCAGAGGATATTCAACAAACAAGAATAAAAAACAATAGTTTGCTTGGTAACCAGAAAGTCTCTATGGGCTATCATTCTATATATTAAGCTTTTTTGTTTTATTTGAAAAAGCATATCAGACTGCAATATTATTTTTTAAATTCTTACTCTTCATACAAAGAGAAAGGATGAACACTTCAGTACAACAAAAAACTCTCAAAAAATGACCAATCTATTTATAGAAGTATTTTTTTATATGATAAGAAAAAAGCTCGATTCAAAAAACTAATGTATAATCAGAAAAGTGCAAATAGAGACAATTGAAAAAGATTTTCTTCCTTTTGACAAAAAACGAGGTGCCAAATAAAAACAAAATTAAACCTCGGACTATCATCTCAATTCAGATTTTTCCGATGAAAATAGACTTTCTGTTTTGAATAAGGTTTTGAAAATATTTTTTAAGTTAATATGATTTCTTTTGTTTTTTGTTAGGATGCACTAACACTTCAACGAGTTTTAATTAATGAAAGAAAAAAATTAACCAATGCCGAATTTAATGTTAACAATGTACAGAATTTAGTTCAAGATTTAATATGGAATTTATTTATACAAACATTTAATGCTGAAGTTGGTGTCTTTTTCTGTTTGATTCTTTCATATTCTCGAACATTAAATTTTTTATTTAAGGATTCCAACGGTCATTTTTATACTGATTCATTTGCTGAATTTTCAGAACAAACTGACAATGAACCGTAATAAAAATTACCAAAAAAAACAAAAAGAAAAAAATTTCATAGAATAATTGATATTTTTATTTTTTTTTTGATAGATTTGATATTGTATATACATACGATCTGATTAAACAAAATCTCAATCAAGTATTAAAGAGAAAAAAATTAAAATATTATATAAATTTTGTTTGGTCTTTTTTTTTAAGCGACGTTATCGACGATTAGATATTTTTCAAGATGACTTATTTAAAGTATTTGAACGTGCTCGAAAATTGAGTATTAATGATTCTCAGGTAAATATCTTATTAAATTATGTGATTTAATAATTTTTTTTTGTAATAGATTTATCAAGATACAATTGAATTACAAAAATACTATATTCGTTTACGTGATGAAATGTGTTCTCATGGTAGCGTACTTCAATCACCAGCACTTTCATTTAATGAAAATGCTTTACAACAAGAACTAGTTCGTGAACGAACAGAAAAAGATGCATTAATTAATATTAATAATCAGAACAGTATATCAACAATAAAATCATCTGATACAGATGAAAACAAAGAATCTGTATGTGTTGTTTCATATTGAATTGAGTTCTAATTTTTTTGTTGTCTAATATTTATTCTCATAGAAAAGAAGATTTTATCTTGTGCGAAAAAATAAATGAATCGTTTAAAATATTTTAAGAAAGGATTTATTACAATTATCGTAACCTTTTCTTCTATTCGGTATTTTCATCAGTGTCTAAGTTCAAAGAAAAATGCTTCCTTGGAAATCGGATTTTATTGTTAAGAAAAAAAAAATTTCGATAAAACACTGTTTATGTGTCAGATCTAGAAATTTTGTAGGTAGAATGTAAGGATCACCATGGTGAAAAGTTATCTTTAGACAGATGAATAATAGTGAATAATTAGTGTTTTCCTTCCAGATATTTAAATCTTTTGATGGAGATCGATCTCTTCCGATTCAAGTACATTTCTGCTAAGCTTGAATCTGATTTAAGCTTTTTGCAATAGAATTGGCAGTTTTTCAAGTTACTTTTCTTTTGTTGTTACATATTTCATTAAAGAATTTGTACAAATCAAATAATCAGACGAAAAAATTTGAGATAATCTTTGGCTTTATTATGCCATATTCCTCTTTGATCAAACATTAAAAAAAAGGAGAGAAATTTGTACTAATCTTACCTTTTTATATAGGCAACTCTTAGTTTTCTCTTTCTAATATTAATATCAAAATTTTTCTAAAAATTTTCTAGCGAAAAAACTATTCTAACTGTAATCAGCCGTTTGAACAAGTTATAATCGTTCTACTGAATTTTTGACTGATTAATTAAGTATTTACTGAAAAATTAAATAATTAATTTTCAACCTGAAATTCAACTCCTAGATTAGTCTAATGATTCTTACAATAAGGCTTCAAGTTTCAGCGGAAAAGAATATTCTTTTATCAAGATATTGAATTTTCAACAAATAGTCGCTTGTCAAAAACTTGTCACAAAAATTGAGTTTACTTTGAACTTCAATATCTCAAGAAATAAATCTTTTTTTCAACTGGAACTTGTAGCACATTTGAAGTGTCATCAAATATATATGTAATGGATACAAATGCCTTCAAATGTTTTCTTTTCTCATCAAGACTTCCTTGTAAGCTCAATATGAAATAATAATTCTACTAGTTCTCTTATAAATATTATTTGAAAAAAATCACAAAAATGAATTTATTTCTAAATCTAAGCGATTGTTCTTTGTTTCTAGTTCACAAAATCTACATTATCAACCGAAAATAGTTCATTATCAAAAGGTGAAACATTCTATATTGGTGATTTTGTTTATATTGAACCAAATGATGAAACAAGTGAACCACATATAATTTGTATTGAATCATTTGAACATAAAGATAATGAAGATTATTTTAATGGTTTACAATTTTATCGTCCCAATGAAACATATCATTTACCAAATAAAAAATTTCTTCGTCAAGAAGTTTTTCTAACACAAACAATTGAACATATACCAATGAATAAAATTCAAGGTTTATGTCATGTTTTACATGTAAAAGATTATTTTAAATATCAACCTATTATTGAAAATCAAACAAATATATCATTAAAATTTCAAGATTTAGATAAAGATATATATGTATGTGAATCACGTTATAATATAAAAACAAAAGTTGTTAAAAAAATTAAATGGTGGAATTTACCAGAAAATAAACGTATTAAATTAATTCCAAGAGAAACTATACTTGAACCAATACGTGAATCATTAACACTCAATAATGATAATATATTAAATCGACAATTAATAACAAATAATGATTTAACAAATGTTGATATAATTGAAAAAATTAAAGAAACCATTCCATATGATTCTGTTATTAATGAAAAATTAAATGAAAATTTAACAGAAAAAAAACAATTTTATGAACAAATTGTTCTTTCATTGAATTGTTTTTATAAAATTGGAGATTATGTTTATATTCATGAAAATAGTAATCAATTAGATAAACGATCTATATTACGAATCGATAAAATTTGGAAACATAATGAGTAAGTTTACAATACAACTCAGACTATCTCAATCGCGATATAAGTAAAAACATTCGAATAAAAATGATGACGAAAGAAATGTCTAATATTTTAGACTTCCCAGGTTCATAAGTCTGGCAATCGTATTCGTGAATTTCTGACAAGTTGTCCCACCGGAAAGATGCTTTTTTCAAGCGGAAAACTTTATAAAATGGTAGACACTTGAAAGCAAGAATCCGGTGATTGAGTCCAATGACTGAATACTTCTAATTCCGATCATAATCAAGAAGAACCGATCATCAGATTTTTGTTTTTAAGCTCGCACTATTTTCTCGAGTGTTCCGATCGGAAACGAGCTATATTTTTTGATCTGAATTGTTATGTTCAGTTATAGAATAAAACTAAAGAAAGAATATAAGAACATAAAAATGCTAGATCGTTTAAAAAAATTAAACAAATATCTCATTTGTGATCTATAAGATAGAATTTAAATATTATTTATCATTTCATCATCTAATTTAAGTTTGAAAGTGATTGTTTACAAAGAAATCTCTATTTTATTCACTAGATAGTCAAGTTGCTTTTTTTTATTGTTCATCTCTTTCTTTTTGTAATTATTTTAAATCAACTAGTTAACAAGTGAATGATGGTTTTTTGTTTGTTCCGAATAAGAATTTAGGAATTTTTAATTAAATTTTATTTCATAGTGAGTAAATATATTTTTTTAAACAAGCTCTTTGTAGAATTTTATTTGAGTTACTTGTATTTCTGATTGAAATTTACTGAGCTCTACATCCGATATGTTAATTAATAATTTACTAATAGAAATGTATGCCGATCGAGTGAGCCGTTGCTGCCGAATCAACAAAAAAAATAACTAATTGAATTGTCAAAAATGTTCGCTCTTTAAGATAAGGTTTCGGCTATGTCTTCGTCTCAATTTATTTAACATGATATAAAAATAATGTTGAACTCGGTCATCACGAACTTTAGCGAACACCATAGCAACGTCTCTTTTCCATAAAAGAAAGTGACAAATATCGTACTACAGTCTCTCTCTCTCTCTCTTTCTCTTCTCAATGCCTATGATAGATATAACCATAACACTGAAGTCTGCTACCGTATTATTAGAAAACATAATTGAATAGCTGTGTTTTGTTATTCTTTCGCATAATAATTAACATCTTTCAATAATTATCATGTATTAACAGATTGTAGTATTTCACAAAACCAAACGTATACATATATTGTTGAATTTCCTCTTTAACAATGTTAGCTGATTCATTATGTTTTACATTGGAATCCTGTGACAAAATGCGTTGACAGCTATTTTATTAGAATGTCTTCTAAAATTTTCTTCACCTGAGATATCCTTGAAATTAAGGATATTGGTTTAAAAAATTCTTCTTAAATTTCAAGTGTTGATCTATTCATCAGTTTATATCTCTAGTTACAAAATGCTCTAGTGATAATTATTTTTCATTTTCATAATAAATATGTTAAATCTATCTAACAAAAGAAAAAGAATATTTACATAGTTCAATTCAAACTAAAAAAAAAATTGTTATTAGTAACCAATATAAAACTTTAGACTCTTCCTAACCTCTGGTTTATTATTTATACATAATTTTGTAAAGAATTAATTAATGAATAAAATAATATTCTACAATATAATAATTAACCTTGAATTATTATAACTTCTAATCATCTAATTCTATAGATGTTTTTAAGTAATAAAAAAATATAAAATAGATATATTATCTGACAAGTACTGTACTAAGTATTAATTAACGATCGTATTGAAAGTTTGTTGTTTTTTTTTCTCCTATTCCATTCAACAATAAGAATATTCTTCATATCATTTTCTATAGCGCAACATATTTTTTTAATTTATTATTCGTTACTATGGAAATCTTTTGTCTGTTTTTCTTTATTATCTTTGAAAGTTGATGTAAGTTTATTATGTTCGTCTCTAGTAAAATTTCTTTCAAGTACACACTCTTTTTTTAATTATTTTATCGTACTTTTTCAATCGTCGCTATTTATTGACACATCATAACCTATTAAAACTGAATCGAAACATCTGTTTAATTATATAGAAAAAAAAAGAATATTAACTAAAAATCAGTCCAATTTCATATTAAATTATTATTATAAATTACATCGATTACCGTTTTTTTTTCTTATTCGAAAGAAATCATTATTTTTCTTTTATGACAAACATAATCATCCAAGACGATGTTTATTTAGGTCACAAAAAAAGCACTATTTCCTTCATTTAGTGTTTACATTTTGATTATTTTTCTTACTTCTTCTTTTAAGTTCATATACAATTAATGGTCCACTTTTTATTCGACCATGTGATATAACTAATCGAGAACGATTAATAATAACAACAAAATCTTCTTATGAACACGAAATTTTTAAATGTGATGGTTTAAATAGACAAATTTTAGTTGAAAATATTATAGGAAAATGTTCCGTACTTTCACTTAAACATTATTGTACTTGTAAGTAATTGATGTTCTTTCTTTCTTTCTTTTTTTTTTATTGCAGTATATAAAAATATTAATTTTATTTCTAGACCGCTTAACTGAAATTCTTGAATGTGATGTTTATATATGTGAATCACAATATATTCCTGATGATCATAGTCTTCGACCTTTAACAAAAGGATTAAAAGTAATAAAAAAAAATACATCTATTTTTTTCTTTAATAAGTTGACTATTGTTTTTCTCTAGAGACCATCATTATCATTGAAAGCATTAGCCGATGAAATCTGGACTTTTCGTAAAGAACTATTGCTTCAACAAGTAATGAACATGGCCTTTTTTTCTTTTCTTTTTTTTCTTTTCTTTTCTCTTTCTCTTCTTCTCAACATAAACCAAGCATAGCTATATAGAGCGCGAATACGTCCCTATCGATTTGTTCTCGTAAATCATCGTCGCTCGTCGTCCGCGCAAATATCGTACTTCGTCTTTTTTCTTTTTTTTTCTTTCTTTTTTTCCTCCGTTTTTCTTTTCTATTTCTACCCTTCCGAGCTCGCGCGCGCGTTTGCTTACGCTCGAGCTCGAGTAACAAAATGGGGGCGAACGTGTATGCATCGCCGTTTATTCTGTTTCCTTTCGACGTTGTCGTTTACTGAAAAAAGAATAACACGACGGGCAAATGTGAACATATAGAAAAGAGAAGAGCAATACACAAAGTTAACTTTTCTTTTTCTTCGTCCTGCTGCTAGTTATATCGACAACTACACGGTGCCGACGTCGTTACTGCTTATCGAAAAAATTATTGTCGTTCGAATTAACGTATAGATATTATATTGTGTGTGTGTGTGTGCGTAAAGCGGGATCCGAACGCGCGCAACAGAACAGAACTATCGACGACGGCTTCCGTCCGTTCGTCGTCGTTTGTTTTGAAAAATCAGCATTCTGGAGATAAAACCAAAGGTAATACGCGCGACGCGCGCGTGTGTATGTGTGTACTGGACGCAATGGGATGCGTTATTGTCCCTTTTCATTCGTCGTTCGTCCGCCCCATGTTTTCTTTTTTTCCTCCCCTTTTTGTTCTTTCTTGTTTCTCATGCTGCTCTTCGATTCAGGGTTCGCAAAGCAAAACTGAGTAAGAATAGTGCTAGTGCATACACACCCACTTCTTAGTTCGACAAGTAAAATAAAGCAAAAAATAATATTCAATCAATGGAATAGTATAAGAACAGAATAAAAAAAAACGAGCATTAGACTTGAGTGAAACCTGAACTACATTGAAGTTCCTTCCCAAACCAAATTTAATTTAGTTTAAAAAAATTCAATTATTAAGGATACTCCTGGTGGCCCGTTCAAATTGATCGACGATGGCTCGTTTATGGACGTGGATGATCAAACCAATAGCAATCATGCCAGTAACGTCGATGGAGATGAGCATCAATCGAATCATTTGAACTTTGAGACGGCCAACAGTAGTAATAATAACAATACGAATAATAATCTGAATACATCATCAGTACAAAATCGAAATAATAATAGTCGTGTAAGTAGATTTTGCAATCAAGCAATGAAAAAAAAAAAACTAAAAAATTTATTTTTTTATTTATTTTCAATAGAAAAATAATCGACGTGGATCATCAGCTCGTGCACCTTGTGGATACCTTGTATTTGCAAGTGAATCACGAAAACGCCTCATTAAAGATAATCCGGGCATTCCATTCGGTGAGATGAGTCGAATGATTGGTGATCAGGTAAAAACAGAAAAAAAAATATATATTTATATATGAACTAATCTGCCTATTAATATTGTTTTTTTTTCTCTCTATAGTGGCGACGATTGACCGCAAGTGAACGTGATAAATATGAAGAAAAAGCGCGTGAACGAGCAAGAGAACAAGAGGTAAATAGGCAACAAAAGACAATAAGATAACATATATATACACGTGAAAACATTACATTATAGGTTAGTAGTGCACCAACAACACAAGCAACGACTAACACTACTACAACAAATTACGATTCACATAGTATGCCAGTTATTAATACACAACGAATAGTAAATGGTGGTGTTACAGTAAATGGACATTATCAAACAAATCCAACTTTGTCAAGTATATTTATTTCGAAAATAAAATTATATTATTCTATAGAATAAAATCTTTTAGATGTTCATTCAATGAATGGAAATATACAAACAATACCAAAACCACCAGCAACTGCAATCGTTACATGTCCACCACGAACACAACGACTTGTTCATTCAGAAGCATATTTAAGGTATAGTATTCAATCTTAATTGACTGAAAAAAATATTTCTTATTTTAGATATATTGAAAATTTGAAACCTGATAATCAATTTATATCTGATTGGCCAAAACAATTAAAAGCTTCAATGAATAATATATCAAATACAAATAATGGAAATAATACTTCACGAACATTACCATCGAATTGGTTTTTAAATGGTAGTCCCGGTCTTTATAATAATGTTCATGAAGCTTTGTGGTCAATGAGAGATAATATGTGGTCAGACGTTATTCGTATTCGAAATGTACTTTCAGATGAATGGTAAATTGAAAAACGATCTTGTTCTTTTCTGTTTGTTTTCTTTTGAAATAAACAACTAAAATATTTGTTTATTACAGTAAAGATTTATAAATGATGCACTGTTGTAGAAAATATAGTCTTTGTCCCTTTTTTTTTTGTTATTGTTGTTTCTTTTTTCTTATGTTTATTTCGTCTTATCGTTTCATTATATGTTCATTATTTTCTTTTTTTCTTTTGTGATTTAAGACACAAGAATTGGAAAACAAAAGAAAACACATCAGCAACTCATTTGTTTCCTTCGCCGTGATAAATGATGAATTGTGTTTTGTCTTTTGTTTGTGTGTGCATGTGTGTTTTTTTTTATGTACAGAGAGCATTATGTTATAATACTTAAAATATATGATTAAAAAACACTGAATCATAGAAAAATAAAAGATATTTAATTGATATTCATGCATAAATTCAACTTGAATTTCATTATTGATATTTTGTTCCAATGTTTGAGAAAATCGTGCCTATGATAAATATTGGAATAATTAGTAAAAAGTGATTCTAGAATCATTTCAAATTAGAAAGTTTACGAGTGCTAAGATCCTAAAAGGAATACACAATAGATAATTGATAAAGAATACATTACTCACGATATATTTTGCATGAAATTCGCATTTTATACACAAAAATATTAGTTTCTAATACGTAAAAAACAATTAATGATAAAAGAATTATTTCTTCAGAGGAATTCTCTGATAGGATTCTAATCTTAAGATTTTGTTGACAAATTTTTCTTTTGAAAAATTACTCAACAATACAATATTTTATGTAGTTTCTCACGCTTAGTTTGAATCTATTGTTGTCGAAAAATGTATTGGAGGCGCAGAAATCGTAAAAAAGCTCGGAAGAGTACAGGGTTTTATGAAAAACATATATATCATTGCAGAAGCATTTATGCATAAATAATAGAAATGTCACATGAATAAGACTTATTTCTGACGTTTCATTTAAATTAAAATAATGTAAAAATGTTGGAAATCATTTTATTGAAGACATATTTTAGGACAAACTCTTTAGTGCAGAAAAAAAGATTACATTTACTACTACAAAATAAAAGCTTAAAGAAATTGTTTTTTCGAATTTATAGGGTAGATGTTCTACTTTAAGAATACAAAAAAATTGTCCAGTCTAATTGTTCTACGTTGTTTGAAAAAAATAAATTGCTGTCTGAGGCAGCTAAAGTGTTCATATTTGAAGACTCAAGTTTTTTCAATAGCCTCAGAAATCTAAACAAAAACCTTTCGCTTCATTTAAAAGGCCATGAGCGAATGATTATTTTATATTACTCAAACTCTCAAAAATCTCATTTTCATTGTTTCCACCTGACGTTCATGTTTTTGTGGATTATGGAATATTGTACTATGTTGATTATCATGAAACAAGTTTAGCCAATAGTCAGATGATTTCAGTATTACTATTTATTCTCTAAATTTAATTTGATTGCTATCTTTGTAGAAGTGATCATGCAACAATAATATCGGAAATTAGTCTCGCCGTTAGAGTTTTTATGAATAAAATATGTATTGTATTTATAAAAATGAATTCAGGAATCACAAGTCTGAACGAAATGTATTTATAAACTATATATAAATGGATTATAGGTCAAAGCTTTTATTCATTATAAAGATGTTGTTGTATTTCCTTTTAATTCTACAAAAAGAAAAGTACTGAAGAATCAGAAGAAAATGTATGACTTGGAAATGAAAAAGAATTAGAAGCAAAGACAATAGACGACTATATTCAGTCAATAATGCAATAAAGAAGAAAAAAAAAGAACAAGTATCTAGACTTGATCTTTAATCAAGTAAAGAAAAACGGTCGTAAATAAATGTTTTTTTTTTTTATGTTAGAATTTACACATCATGATACATATTCAAGTGTAGTTTGTATATCAGTGATCAAAAACGAACAAAAAAACTGCTTTTTTTATGATCGTAGTTGTTATGATTGTGCATGTGTTTGATAAGTTTTTGAATACATTGTTTTTATGGGAGATTGATGAACATGATGTCATTTGGTCATAAAATTTATTATAAGGATTAATTATTGTTGATTAAGTTGATGTGATTGTGATGGATGAATGTTTTTCAGTGAATATGATGATTGGCCATTACATATTGATAAATAAGAATGTCAAGATTCTTTCTGAAAACTAAATTTATTAGAATGTCTTTATGTTACATTAGATACTCATATGTGTAATGAATGAGAAATATTTGTGCAAATACGTTAATAATAATTTTCACAATTAATATTATTTCGGATATCATTGATATTTTGATGAAAAATGAAAAAGATTTTCAAATAATTTTTTTAACCTCATTATTTAACATACTCCTCAATAGTTTTTCCCAGGATTACAATTGCTGACTTAAGCGAAATATTTCTTTTTTGACATCTTGATTAGAATATTTGAATAACTGTATTATATTTTGTATTTGTTTAGCATTTTTATGAGTGATAAAACTATAAGCTGTACCCTTAGCACTTGAGCGAACAGTGCAATCGATACAATGAACATAATCTTCAGTTTGTGTTACAAATCTTAATACATATGTACATAACTAAGATTCATTTTGATTAAATCATAAAGATGCTTTGATTTTTTCACTCTTGACCCCGACTATTAGAATACATTTTTTTTTACTCATCAGTTTTACAATGACAACAGAAAAAAAGAAATGATTCATTCCTTCTTGTTTTGTATATAAATCAGTATGATTAAAAAAAGAAAGAAGAATTATGTAATTCTTACCGTGCTTTGAAGTTCAGAATGTTCAGTGGATTGTTGATGCTCATTATGTACGCGCATTGGTATGGAAAAAATCTCTCTCCATCTGTTCAGCAGCTCTAAGAGCGGCACATTGAACGCCGATATAATTTTGCACAATCAAAACCAATCATGTTTTCTTCATGATATTTATGATACTTGTACTCATTCGTAATTCTGATGTACATTGATGATTGCTTTATTTTAAGTCTTTTATCAATATTTTGAAGAATTTCATGCAAATCAGAAGTAAAACAATTGCAAGTACTAAGGCCTATGATCATAGGACACACCTACAAGCTATAACAAAAAACAGAAACGTAGAAATAGTAATAAATGCTACTGAAATTAGCTTATTTAATTAAAAAAATTAATTTACAATACGTGCTTGAACTTCTGGCAGCAACATTGGTTGTAATAAGAATAATATGAGGTCGCGTTCGGCATTCTAAAAAGAATAATAAATTGTAAATTTACTTGAATCTAATAAAAGAATATACCTTGTAGAACTCGATCACGTTCATTTCGTCGTTTATTACCATGAACAAGAAAAACTGAATAACCAAGTTGTTTTATGATAAAGAAAAAATAACATCAAAACGCTTGTTTTCTGTTTGTGCGAATATAAACACTTCATCATTTTGATCATGTATTACAGCTGTTTAAAAATTTTAATGATCTTCATAGTATGCAATCCCATGTAATCGAGATGAATTACTTTTTCACCTACAAAATCTAACTGGTCTCCTGATCAGAGATACCACATATTCCAATATAACAGTAAAAAACTTCGATTTTTGAAATTTTTTCTGATTTTTGTTTCGATTTTTCGTTTCATGGAAATATTTTGAAGTTTATACATGTAGTTTATATTTTTCTTCTGTTTTTTGTTAGGTTTGCTCACATTTTTTTGGAAAAAGAATAATTTCGAAGTAAATAACTTTCTTGAACTGTCCATACTAACTAAACTGTATATTTATTTTGTTTTTATTAGCTTTCTTTTATCATGAAATACATTTTGAGATAATGTGTATCAATGAATAGACACAGAATAAAACATTGTATTAGTAGAAAAACACATTATAGATTTGTGCACAAAAAAAAAATTTCCGATTTTTAATATTTCCATATGGCAACGATGGTTCTAATAGGCCAATACAAACTTCCAAGCCATGACGAATTTCACGTTTCTGTAATAGTTTTGAACCACCTTCATAAATACAACGATTAATGTCCATTTTAGAGCTAAATAGACGTGGACATTTTTCGAATAACCTGAAAACAGAAGGAGGGAAATATCTCAGGTTTTAGTACTATCTAGAATCGAAATTACTGCATTTTTTTACAAAGTTAACAGAAAAATTCAGTTGTTTTTCGTCTTAGATTCAGCATTAGTTTCAAAGAAGATTGTAATTCGCTTTGAAGACAAGTATACTTTTCCAACAATGATGTACCGCGTAGATGACCTAGCTTTTCTTCTATTGATGAGCGCAAGGTCGAAACCAATAGTTGTTTTCCTTCAAAAGATGTACAGACTTTACTCACTGCTACTCATAAAAATGTTTCGAAATGTCAGCAGTTCACAAATATCTCCATATATAAATTTGAGACTGTATTTCACTTCATGAAGTAATTCATTAATCTTATAGGTTTAATCTCTTATTAAGAGAGACATTAGAATCCATGAATTTCGTTTATTTTATGAAAATGAATCAATATTTCAGGAAATTCTCTGCAACATTAATTTTATTGATGCTTTTATCTTAAAAATGTTGTGTATTCGAATCGATCAATGAAAAAAAAATATTCGAAGATATAAATGCAGGTTGACCATAGATAGTTGTCAGTCATCAATATCATCAGCACTATAATTATCAGCATTGTAATCATCATGTTCTTCTACAATCTTTTCAATATAAATGTCTACTCTTTTAAATCTTGTCACATATTGTTTGGCATGATTGATGTAGCTGGTTGCTTCTGTCGTAATCTAATCATATATCTACTAGTGTGCTAATTTGACTATATCAACCAAAGGAAACTTTGTGTTTTTATCACGAACACAGGCTTTCATCTTGGTCCAACTAATTCAACAGCATTCAGTGCGCAATGTTTGATTGGTAAACTTGAAATAAAAAGATATCGGAGAAGAAGAGATACGAATTGATCGCATTTACCGCAACATATTAACTCGATACTTTTTATGTCTTCATCCACCTTAGTGTTTTTTGCGTTAAATTTTCAAAACTTAACTCTAATAACTTTGTTCTGGAAATATTTTTTGAATATGGAACATCATAATTATCAAGTTACTCAGCTATCATTTGGCAGCAACACCTGTGCAATTGAACTATATTAACTAAGTGAAACTGTTTCTGGACGTGCTTTCATATCACAGATTATTGATTGAGTTCATGAATTCTGATGATGTTCTTAATACGAAAATAAATTCAAAAGGTTAATGAATCGTGTCATGAAGTGGAAGACGTCTACAAATTTATATAAGACATTTGTGAATCGGTTATATTTTGAAAAATTTTATCATTAGTAGTGAGTAAAATCTGTATATCTTTTGAAGAGAAACAACTATTGATTTCGATCTAGCGTTAATCGATAGAGGAGAAGCTAGGTTATCTACCTATTACAGTATAGTTGAGAAAGTATATTGTCTTCAAAGCGAATTACGATTATCTTTGAAACAAATGCTGTATCCTAGAAGAAAAACAACTGAATTTTTTTCGTCGACTTTGTAAAAAGATGTAGTAATTTTGACTCTAGAGAGTGCTAAAAACCTGAGTTATTTCCTTCTTTCCGTTTTACAGTTATTCGAAAAATGCCCACGTCCATTTAACTCTGAAATGGATATTAATTAATAAAAATATAAAGAATAGAATTATGAATGAAAAAATTCTTTCATAAAAATTAAAACCTCATCAAATGAAAGTATTAACTTAGATATAAAAACTTGCATTGCTTTTGTATTTTAAACATAAAATTGATTATTTGCAAGTTATTCAATAAAAAGACAGGTAACAATCAATCTTTAAAATAGAATTGAAATCTTTTATGGATGTGAAGTTAGCATAAGAAAAAGCTACCATGACAGCGTAAGATGATCTCAGAATTCTTAACCATTGACCCATTTTCTTGAGTTAACCATGGAAATAGTTTTTTGAAAGTATTGATTATGGCACCCGTATAGTTCAATTTTGGCGAAGTCATTCTACTGTAGAGATGTACAATGGATCAAAGATGATCCATTCCTCTTGGATGATATAAAAATTATGAATTATGATGGGGGATGATCTGTCGTTAAATACTTGCAAAGGCTACTATTTTTGAATTGAAATTATAATACGAAACCATTGGTTCTAAATCTATTTCGAAATCACCCCCATTCCTATTAGTAAGTTTTCGTTCAGAAGAAACTGGCTAATTGTCCTAAGCAAACTTTCAGAAAGAAGGCCTACTAGTTCATGAGTTTATATAGAAAAAAATAAGTTCGAGAAAAAACATTTTTCATGTTAACCATTACGAGTATGTCAAAACAGACCCATATTATCCGGAAAAATGCTACTTTCACATCTGTGAATCGAAAAGATTTTAAAAGTCGCATTGCAAATAGATTATGTTCATAATACCATGTACTAACCTCATATGCACTTGAATAACCAGTCTGTGTCAGTAAATAAAAGGAATAAAAACAAATTTTTGAATTTTTCTCAAAAAATGTAATCTTTTACGAATCGGTAGCTTATTGACGGCTCTGCACAATGTTCGGAAAATGCTTCGAGCCTATGCTTTATTCAACGAGATGATTTCTATAAATGCGTCGAAAATGACTTCACAAGGACACAAGCGTTAATGTTAGGACTGGTAGGATGAGTACGAATATTCGGTAACACGTACCGAATCATTCGCAGCATTTTCTAACCTCTAAAACTCAAGTGTAAAAGTTTTTCGAATCGATTTATATCTGTTGTGGTAGCTTCATATTAATAAATCTTCTTACTTGTGCCCAATTAATTATTCATAATCTGCTGAACCTAGCCGCCATAATTCAACAACGAAAGAATTGAAATTATCAATGAATATATTTTCGTATGAATCTATCAAAAATATTTCTTTTACTTTATATACATCTTTTTTCATTTCAATAATCTATAATCATTATTGTTGTTATTACTTTTATCATCTCAATCCTAATAAATCATCTTTTATTTTCTTTTCAATAAGATAAATCTGATGTTATTATGTAACATCTTTCAATGTGTGAAAGAGAAGTTCAATAGAAAACAAATGGTTTAGCAGGTGAAAATGTCTAATTGGCTAAAAAAAAATCCAGGACAATATATCGAATATACACAAAAAGAAAAGAATTATAACGTTAAAGGGTTTCAATGTAATTCTTTTTCCGTATGAGCTTTTGATACCCAACCTTGTGGTCGTGGCATATCCGGATGATCATCCCAAACTTTTCTTGTCACATTTGGATCAATTGGACCAACAACATCATAATAACTTAATGGATCACCATGATGTATTTCCCAATCACGTTTACGTGCACGATCAACAAGTATACGTCGATATGAAACATATATACCAAATAAAACACCGATTAAAGCACCAATAATATAATATTGTTTACGATAATAAATATCCATATGCCATGGTGTTGGTAAACGTGCTTCAATCGGATCATTAGGAAAATAATTTTGATAAAAATCACGAACATTAAATGTTATTCCTTTCATTTCTGATGTTTTAGCGCGTGGTATTTCATTATCGGGTGGTACACGAAATTCTGGATCAAGAGATAAAGGTGTTCGATATTGTTTTTCATTATTCGAAGATGTATGAGAAACATTTGTTGTTGTTGAAGAAGCTGAACGAGTTAAAATTACTCGTTCAATTAATTTCGAAAATAATTGTCTTGATGATGAATATTTTGAAAGTAACATAGTAAGAAATGTTATTTGTTATAATTCAAGAATGGAAAAATAGATTCGTTGTACTGAGATACTGGCAACCATGTTGAATTTTCTGTATATTGATGAAGGTTATTTTATTCATAGAAGAAGTATTGAACAATAAAAAAACAACGAGAATTAATTAAGAAAAAGTTAATTTAAAAATTAAATAAAATTTTTGAACATCAATACCATTTGATAAGAAATGATTGGTAGCGCTATGGATGATTTCTGAGTCATTCGAGACAGTTCTCTATTACTCGATGATTCATCAAATACACATGACATCATATAAAATAATGACACAGCATTTTTTTTTCTTGTATTCATTTAAATTCTCATCGCTTTTGCGATTGTTGTCATTTATTTCTAACTTTTATCGATACTACACTTATGGAGTTTCCACATCTTGGACAACATTGTTCAGTTAAAACATGCAATCGATTAGGTATGTTACTTTCTTGTTTTATTTCAGTTGACTTTATTTTCAAATAATATGTTTAGATTTTCTACCGATGAAATGTGATTCATGTGCTGCCGTACTATGGTAAGTTTTTTAAATTACATTTTTTTCTAAAGTGTATATTCTATTGATTTATTTTTTTTTCATTTTAGCAAAGATCATATAAAATATGATGAACATCAATGTCCATCATCTCATCGTAAAAATATTCAAGTACCTATCTGTCCTTTATGTAATCAAGCTGTACCATTAGAATATCGTGATCAATCACCTGATCGTGTTGTATCAGCACATATTGATCGTGATTGTAAATCTGATCCGGCATTAAAAAAACGTCGAAAAGTTTATTCAAATAAATGTTCATTTACTTCATGTAAACAACGAGAAGCAATTCAAGTAAAATGTGATAAATGTTTAAAAACATACTGTTTAAAACATCGATTTCCTGATGATCATAAATGTCAAGGATTTGAAAATACTGGTCGAGTTATGAATCTAGCTGGGTAAAAATATGCTTAGAAAAAAAATTTTCTTTTTTTCTAATATTAATAATCGATTCATTTTTGTAGTGCTGCAGCTATAGAACGTATGAAAAAAATGAATGATAATATTGCTAATAAAAATGCATCGAATAATGCAACAGTAATGGTAAATATATGACTTAAATGAATTAATAAAATAATATTTCTTGTTTTATGAATAATAGAATGATGATGAATCACTTGAATTGGCAATAAAATTATCTTTGAATCAAACGTAAGATACTTGAAAGGGAATGAAATCTTTTGATCTCAGTGTTTATTGCTTTTTATTTTTGAAATAGGACACAAGAAGAAAATGATTTTCTTCTAGCACAAGCTTTACAACAAAGTGAACCAGAAGAAGCTCGACGAAATCATGCTAATGTAACTATTGAATTCGTTTTGAAAACTCATTTTTAACTTTCTATATATATTGTAGGGTATTAAAGGCACAGCTTAATCTGTGTATTTATTTATTTTCTCTCTGATGGCCATAAAGATAAAATTATAGTGATCGAATGAACGATAAAAAGAAAATTTATTTTTGTTATTGTCAATAGTCATGAGGTTGCTTGACATCTTATTATTATTTTTTTGCTTGATGTTGAATTATTTATTTTATTTTTTTTTGTATATTAAAAGTGAAAAAAAAATAATAAAAACTATTATTATTATGGCTTTAGAGGAAAAGCTAAAAAAAAATAAATGAATTTTGTAAAACGATGATCAGATACTATAGTTGGATTGTATAATGAGAACAAAAGAGAAAATTGTCTGTATGCTTAAGTTTGTTCGTTTTTATTTATGATTTGTGAATTATGTTAACTCTATGACGAAATCAATTTTAAGAAAAGAGTAAGTATTTAAAATTTTTTATTCTGACATTTTGCGTCATTTTCTTGTTTTACAGAATAATGAATGCAATGAATTTGATAATGAGTGTACATTCATTACTAATCATATCCTAATATCCTCGTTTTATTCTATTGATTACTTTTGATTTATTATATACATCATGTAGAAATTTTTATCTTAAAATCTATATCTAAATTCAGAATTTTTTTCGTTTGAATTGTCTTCATTATGTGGACCGAACGACGAAATAGTAAAGTAGTTTTGTTACTATATCGTAATATTCTCTAAGTACGAATTACTCGATTATCTCCTATTAGGAAAAGAGTATATGATCAAGTAATTTAATTCACTAATGAAAAAAGATTGTTCTACAACAAGTAAAGCTAATACCGTTCATCTACTTATAAATCATAATGCTTCAATTCTAATCGTCCTTTTATAGAAAGTTTCTTTTCTATTTATTACGACTAGTATTCAACTATTTTATTCATCAGACCGTATGTTAAACACACAAACATACATATGAGTTAATAGAGATTATTTATAAATATTAAAAAAAAAACCGTTAAAACACTTCATTATAAAAAAAAAGCGACATAAGCAAATCTATCCCCATTGCGCAAAAACCAACCACAAAAAACAATTCATTATTCAATTCACAAATACACAGCATTATGTATTTCGAATTGCGGCTAATTCACGATCAATTGCTTGTATTTCATCTAATTTTTTACTGAATATTTTCAACAGTTTACTAGAACATTCTTCTTGTGTTACAAGTAATTTTGATACTTTTTGTCGTATATTTTCATTTTTATCAATATTTTCGTCTTTTCTATTTGCCTGATAAAAAAAAACCAAGATCAATATGAATAGTAAAAGAAAAGAAAGATTTCATACTTGAAAACTTTCATCTGCTATTGACATAATTTCATCGAGGTCATCTTGAGTTAAATTTAATATTTTACTTGCTGTATTCATCGCTAAATCATATCCAGGTAATGTCATTGATAATGATTCACGTTGTTTTTGATGTTCACGTGCACGTTTTAATTTCTCATTCATTTGTACACTTCGTCGAATCATTTCATAAAGAAGATCCTAAATTAAAATTTTATAGTTTCATTCAATATCAGTAGTGTCGCAAATAGAAATTTGCGTGATCACAAAAAAAGATGTTGTGCTGAGACTGGAACCAGAATCGAAAAACATGCTTCTATCATATCTTTGGTTCCGAGTCTGCCAGAGCTGGAGTAGTCGATAGCTCAGGAGACTGATCAGAAGTTTTTTGCTAAAGTTGATTGAATTTGGAGAGTACCGCGGTTTTTTTTGGGAATAATTGGTAAGAAAAAGGAAAAACTTTTTTTGAAGATCGGGAAATTACTTCTTCGAACTCCCGTTCGAAACATTCGTTTTAAAAATTGAAAAAGAAAACTTCTTTTACATTTATAAATCTTTCATATTCATTTAAACGTTGAAGTGTTCGTTCTAATTCAGATGTAATTTTTTTTAATGAATCTTGATTTTTAGTATTTAATGTTAATAATTGTTGTTCAGATAGTTGACGAGATGTTAATAATTCTTGATTTAATTGTTCATTATTAAGACGTATTTGACGAAGTTGTTGATCATTTAAACGAAATTTTGTTTGCATATCTTCAAAACGAATTTTCTATTAAAATGTATAAATTTTTATTTTATTTAAAAATTTTTTTTTTTTTTTGTGTCAAAAAAAATTTCAATAAATATTTACTAATTTTTGATGTTCATCAACAAGTTGAGTATATCGTGAATCAAGATCATGTTTTTCTCGAGTAATTGCTTGTAAACGATTTTTATATGAATCAATCTATATAAATAAAAAATAAAGTTTCATATATTTTTTTTTTTGCAATTTAAAAAAATTACATACAGTTATTCGTAATTTTTCCATTGTTTCAGTTAAAGATTTAATACGTTCATCATTATGCTATATAAAATGAAAAGATATTAAAAAAAATTTAAAATAAATCAAAATTTTTACTTCATTTATATTTTTGTCATGTGAACGATTAAGACTTGTTTCCATTTCATTTAATCGTGTTTTATAATTTTCAATTAATAATCGTTTACTAGCAATATCACGTTCTGTATGTGTTAATCTAAATAAGTAGAATAAAATTGAATTTAAAGAAATTTTTTCTTTTTTTTATCTATTGATAAATTTTACTTTTCAGTTAATGATTGTAAATTTTTATTTAATATATCATTATCTGTTTGTAAAGTTTTATTTAATTTACGTTGTTGAGCAGCATCAAATGAACTATTTTTAAGACGTTCAGATAAATTATCAATATTGATACTATGATCAATATTTGGTAAATCATGATTAACAAATGTTGATTGATTGAAATGATTATTTTTAAATTTATCACATTCAATAATAAGTTTCTTTAAAATCAAAGAAAAAATTGCATAAATAAAAAAAAAAGAATTCAAATACTAACTTGATTTGTTGTTTTAAGAACATTAATTCGACTTAATGTTGTCATTAAACGTTGATTAAGATGTTCATTTTCTTTTCGAGAATTAGCAAGATCAGTTTTTAATTGTTCAATATGTTTACGAAATGTTGAAATCTAAGATAAAAAGATTTAATTCTTTTTAGACAAAAAAAAAATCATTGTTATGTTTAGCAGTATTTACTCGGATTGGAGGAACTTTCTGTATTGATGAAGGAGTATTTGGTTTTCGAGGAATATTGGAATATTTCATTGGAGGGTTTGCGCGATTTTTAGTCATAGAACTTCTTTTGAATGGTCCACCTAAATATAAAAAATAAAGACTTTTTATATGAACAAAATTGATGATTTAGATAACAAACATCTTGGTCTTGATAGTATGGATGATATTGATGGTCGTCTTTTACGTTGTCTAAATGAATTTTCACTTTGATGATCACAAAGACTACATAAATGATCTTGTCGTCTATTAGATATTAATGATTCATTTTGAAGATCATCAATTAATGTTGAATTTTGATCAAGTAACAATTCTAAACATGATTTCGCTGTTGTTAATTTTTTTGGTTTCTTTTTTATTGTTCGTCTTTTTATTGTTAATATTGGTTTTAATATTAAATCTTTTTCATTATTTATTTGACTATTTCGTTTTAATTTATGTATTTGATCTTGTAATGAAAGTATTCGAAGTTTATATTGTTTTAATTCATTATTTAATTGTATTTTTTGTTGAATCAAATGTTGCTTTTCATCATTACATAAATCATAATTAGTTTTTAAACGTTCATTTTCAAATATTAAACATGTTCGTTCTGTTTCAAGTTCATATAATTTTTTATCAAGTTCTTCTATAAGATGTTTTTGTTCATTATTTGATGTTTTTATATGTGTTGATTGAATTTGTTCTTCTTTATCATTGATTTGTCGTATTTCATTATGAAGTTCATCAATAACATTTATTTGTTCATTTATTTCAACTTCTTGTAAATCAACTTTTTCTTGTAGACTTAAACTAAATAGACAAATGAATAATATTTCTACCAATGACAAAATCAATGCAAATTGTATTAGAGTTAACAGTTTACTATAAATAATACAAGAATAGACGATTTGAATACAGAAAAATTTAATACAAAATGTTGATACATTGTTGAATTTTCTTTTTTTCTAACACTTTCTTGAATAATATTTGTTAATGAGTCATTTCATACTTCGAATATAAAACCAATCTGAATTTTTCTTAATCGATACTAGTGCTGACCAGGATAGGCCAGATCGGATCGGTAGTCTGAAATTCATACTGACACTGGTTTGACGAGTTGTGTTAGTAGTCTATCTAAGGATAGTGATAATTGTTGTAGTCTTTCTTCAATAAAGTTTTCTACATGTCCAGTTCCATCTCTGTTAGGTTTCTTCGGGCCGTATTTTTTACTTAAGCATTTAATATTGAACTATGTTAATAGCCAAGTTATATATTGGTGAGTGTAGAGAAAGAGTATTAGAGGCAATTACTTCTCCTTTTCGATATATTTTTCGAGTTTTTTCAACAGCAAACATCTAAAAAGAAGTTGATACGACCTCTAATGAGCTTTACAACATGTTCTGTGACCATGATCATTCTCCTTTGATAAAATCCTTGAACTATCACTGCGGGTTATAACCTTTGTTTTAACAATGCTTAGCTAGTAAGGAATCTTATCAAACAAAAGATTTGAAAAAAAAAAATTCTAAAGCCATACACATAACTAGACGATGTGAATGATGAAGTATAGAATAACCAATTAATAAATGTTATTCAAGAATGTACTCAAAAAATAACAACTTCGACTGTGTATCAACATTTTTCTATTATAGTTTTTTTTTTGTACTATGCATATATATCTATATGAATTTGTTTTAAACCATAAACTCAACACTTTATATTAAAAATGTGATTCGTAGTTTATAAGAAGAATAGATCAAATATTGTTTACTTTTCATTAGTTAATTTTGCATTTTCACGTTTTAATTTCGTAACTTCATTCCAAACATGATCATCGTCTTCTTGTTTAAGTAATTTTCTATTATTTTCAGTTTGTTTTCTCCATCGATGATCATTACATACGGAACAACCATTTTTTGTTTTATGTATTGCTTTTCGATAGAAAAAATCATTTTTTGAATTTGTTTGTAAAATTTCATCATCAGTATAAGATTGTAATTCATCTTTAAGTAATCGATATTGTTTTTGTAAATGTTTAAGACGGAACCAACGTTTATCATGAACTTTTTTTAATGTATTTATTTGATTATCACGTTTAACAAGTAATTGTTGAACATTATTAAAACGATCAGTTAATGTATGAAATTTTGTTTTTAAAAATTCTATATCTAATGGAGAAGATGAATCATGAATAGATGGAGAAATAGCACGTTTATTTTGAAATGAATTTATTACAGATTGATTCCGTCCAATATCTTCACTACAACTTTTCCAACGACTTTCATGAGATAAACGATTCTAAGAGAAAAATTTTTGAATAGACGAATATGTCAAAGTAAAACTTACAGGTTGTAATGTATCACGAACACGACGAAGTGTTAATTTTAATTGTTTTATTTCATTATCACGATCTCGTAAAGTCTAGAAAATATGAAATCATTATGATGAATTCATTTAGAAATATCTTTGATAGAGTCATTTGCGAAATGTTTTACTGTAGAAAGAGTTTAAAAGAAAAAAGAATTGACTTAAAAGGTTTCGTCAATTTCGAGAAAAGAAATGTAACTTTAGCTAACTGTAAATGAATGATACATTTTGAGTATAACTCGTGTGGGCGAATGTACAAACCAACCTATCGGGCTCTAATTCACATTGTGCATGAAGGAATATTTTCCGTACAAAACTATAAATCTTACATTTTGAAGACTTGAGATTTGAAATCGTAATGAATCATCTTCAAAATGACTATCTATAGTCAAAAAAAAGAAAAGCACATATTTTTTATATGTAATAAAATTTGACTTACTCGTTTGTTTTTTTCTATGTAACTCATCAATTTCTTTTCTTAATAAGCATAATAGAATATTTAAACAGTATTTTCAAAAAAAAAAGTATTTACTTAAGATTAACAATAGTTTCTTCTCGTTGTTCAATAGTTGCTTTATATGAATCAAGTTTTTGTCGCCAAAGTTGTGTATCAGCAACAATACGATCAAATGTCTATGAAATAAAAAAATAAATATTATTAATATTTAAAAACAAAGACAAAAAAAAAAGAATTAACCAAAATTTTTTCTTGATTAATAGCATCAAACGAAGCTTTTCCATTTAATTCTTTTGTTAAATCATTAATATGTTCACATAATCCTAATATTTAATATATTTATCATTCTAATGAAAACAAAAGAAAATTTGAAATGCTTACGTTCATTTTCAATTTGACAGTCACGTATTGTTTTTTCAAAAGTTTGTAATTGTAATTGATGTAATTGTTCAAACGTACGTGTCTAAAATAAAAATCTATTTGTTTAATGATCTAAAAAGAAAAAAACAAAAATTCAAATTATTAACCTTGTCTTCATATTGTCGTAATTTATCTTCAAGTATTTGAAATTCTATATTTCGTTTTTTCAATGTATCTTCTAAGTATTGTTCACTAAAATGGTTTCTTTTTTGTATTATTTGACATTTAAAAGGTATTATAAGAATATTTCTTTTACCGTTCTTCAAGTTTAACAATAGAAGCATTTTTTTCCTGAATAACTCGTTCAAGTTTTTCAATTAAATGTTCACGATTTCTTAATCGAAGTTCATCATTATTTAAAAGAATTTGTTCATGTTCATTTGTAAACCTTGAATTAAATGCAAAAGAAAAACTTTTATTAAAAAAATTTGTTGATTTCTTATTCTAATCTCATATACTTGGGTTCGTCTGAGTTATTCAATGGTACTTGAACATTATTCGAATTAGCCATGTTATTGAACGTTGAACGGATGAACGAGAGAACGACAAATCTCCATAAATATTCTACTTTGAGTTGTCTTAGTGATCCTCTTTCCATTCTTATATATATATATATATATATGTATGCATACATATTGAATGGTGCACAAGTGTGTTGAACCAGCAGAAGAGAAAAAAAGTAACGTACATAGGTTCGCGGGTTTTTAAAATACGTCATTGCGAACAGTATGTATTCAGTACATATAGGAAAAAAAAAACCTTTTATTTTTATTTTTGATCAATTTTATTAAATAATTGTTCTTTTTTTTATTTAAGAAGTGTTGCCCGAAAATGTAGTAAACTTGTACTAAACGTCTTATTCATTTCTCTTTGTTTTATATGAATATGTATCCTATTTCTTTTAGATTATCGATGTTTCTTTTTATATCGATCATTTTATTTTATCGCATCGTATTGAAAAGATTGATTAAAAACAAAGTAAATATGTTTCAACAAATTGCAACCAATTATCCATATTGTTTTGTATTCTTGTAATGTCACCCAAAAAAGTAATTAAGACTAAAGCATTAACTTCTATTATAAATGAAATTGATATGAATATCAAAACTACTAATCAAGTCAGTTTACTCCTAGGTAACTTGAAGATATTTTCTAATGATAGATTATCTTATCTAGAAAAAAACAAGACAAAGAAAACCTAGAATCAACTGAAAATATTGAACAAAAACCAGAGTAGTCAAGTCCAACAAAACCTAATCAATATGACAGTAAATCAAAAAAATTCGATGTATGTATTATTTTTCTTTATTTATCTTACTCACTAATAAAAAGCATTTATTCATTTTGTTTTTAATATCTAGTATTAATAAAACTACGCGATCAAACACAAAGTCAGAAGTTGAGGTAAAAATAAATCGTTTCTTCTTTATAATCTCTTTCTATCAACATACCATTTAATATGTGGTCTATTGATCAAACAAATAAAAAATGTGATACACATAATGATTTATCAGAAAAAAAAATATAAATAATGAACAGACATCAAACAAAACAAATAATCATAAAATATCAACGAAATAAATAAATAGTTAAGATGGTAAATGTTAGTAAGTTAAAACTACAGAAAAACAAAGTGAAGAACAAGAAGTAGGTAAAATACAATTTTCTAATTATTTTATATAACTTTAAACACCAAACAATCATTTTTTTCCCTAAATGATACAGAAGAAGGTAACGAAGATAAGAAAAAATCTACTTTAAACAAAGCTACAGCTAAAGGTAAAAATGTTGCACAAGAAAAAACAAGAAGATTAATGATGATGAACAAAAAAGATACTGGCGATGAGAATACTGGAACTGAAGGTACATTGTCAAGTAAAAAAGCTAAAGATGAATCCGATCATAAAAAAATCAAAAAAAAAGTCTTAATCAACATTTGATTTAATCTGTACAGATACTGATGATGATGATAATGTGGAAAATGCAAATGAATTACCAAATAAAAAACCTATAGCTAAATTTGGTAGTGAACCTGGTAAAACCAATAAAGTGACATCAAAGAAAGGTATCAATCAAGAAAATGAAAATGGTAATTATCAATAATAATATTGTAATTAATTTATATTTAAATTTTCTTGACTATCGATAATGAAAATACTGAACACGAAGGTTAATCAACAACGAAAAAAGCTAATAGTAAAATTAATCGAAACCGAGCTCAAAATAATAAAACTATAGAAAACAAAGATAATGATCAAGAGATTGATGATGATTTGGGTAATCATTAAATGTGTGTTTTATTTATTTTTAGAAACGAAGGATGAAAGTGATGCGATGGCTTCCGGAAAAAAGTATTTAACAGTTCGTAAAGGTAAAGCTGTTGGTTCATCAAAAAAAGACTCAGAAAAAGAAATTAAAGCTAAAGGTGATCACAATTTGTCCGAAGGTAAAAATCTAGCTGATGGTAAACAAAATAGTGCAACAACAAAAAAAGGAGTAATAAAACAGCCCACTCCATCATCAAGTAACAACTCAGTGACTTAAAAGATAAAAAAAAATTTCATCACTTAAGTGAATTTGATGTCAAAAACATGAAAAAATGGAATTTCTGATGATGAAATGGACATTTTTTGATGTTTTCTAAATTCATGGACTAAAAATAGTATTTTAATCATAACTATGCGATGAATTTGAGTTTTAATGAAATTCACTGTATGATTTTGATTAAAATATTACTTTTAATCAACGACTTTAACAAAACATCAAAGAATATGTCTGCTTGATCATCAAAAACTTGCAACTAAGAGCAAAAAACGAAGTGTAGAAACTGAACTATTTGAAAATCGAACAAATGATAATGGGAGTACAGTATCTGAATACAATTTTAAACATGGTCAATTAATTAATATCTGTTATATATCGTTGCTTTGTTAGGTCATCTTTTGATAGATGGTCCATCAGAAAAAAAAACTGGAAAAAGAAGTGGTCCAGATGATAAAGTTCCATTATCATCATCATCTAGTAAAACTAATAGTCGTGCAGTTGAAAAGAGCAAAACTACACAAACAAAAGTAAAAAGTTATTGCCAATCGTATAAACATCAATCGAGATGACGTTCCTTTTTAACATTGTGTCCATAATCGTAGTTCCTCTTTTATGATGATTGTACAAATACCCCTCTACGCTATTTTTTTTTTGAAGATTTTCTTCATAATTAGGTATACGTGTATTGTTATTTTATATGGTTCTTGTATTGAATCCAGCTTGTCTCTGCATCGTATGTCTATATGTATGATTGATTAGAACATAAACAAACTCAATACTTACCTGAAATATATCTTGTTTAATATCATGAACCGAAGATATGATAGAGAGTATTGAATATAAAACATTTCAATGTTATGATAATGAGTGAGAAGTATACGTTTATTTTAGTGTATGAAACATTACTTTTATATAGTGGCACTCATTGTGAAGTTTTGCCTAATTTCTATTTGGCTTGTAAATGTCAGATTTAAGATTAGAATCGAGTATTGAATGTTCACTCGATTCCAATTTGATTATATCTAATTTTTCAATTCACTATTTACTTAGATTAAATGGAACTCTATATTCAATATTGAGATATATGCTATTTTACTAGATTTCATCGTTCTACTTAAGATATTTCTGTGTCTTTTAGAATGAATAAGAAAATATTTGTTTAGTTTATATTATTTTATTTTCTTGTTACCATTTGATATCAAGTTTAACTGGAAAATGATCACTAATATCAAGTGCTTGGTCTAATGACATACCAAAGTCTTGTTGAAAGTTTACTGTTGTATTGCTCCGTGGTATAATAGCTCTAACAAACTTGTCACCATTAACAAGAATACGATCATATGTACATGTTTGTCTTGTATTTGTTTTAACTTCATTATTAATCATCCATACAAAATCAGCATAATCAACAGAACTAAAAAGAAAATTTTTAGATAGAAAAAAACAATTGTAGATAATTTTTTTTGCAGTTGTATAAACAAACCGAAGTGATTTTTGGCGTGTCTGAGAAATATACGAACAGTCTGCATTTAAATCACCCATAATTAATATAGGATGATTTGTTCTCAAATTTGGTTTATTAGTACTTGTTGCATTTATTACATTTTGAGCTAAAGCTGTAGCTAATGATGTGGATGTTTCACTAAAGTATTGAGGATTTTCAAGAATAAAATTTCTTATAACAAGACGCATGTCAAGTAATTCTTGATAAGCAGCAGTAGGTTTTGAATGAAGATTCATTATAGTAAAATATGTCACGCCTGATGTACCTTTTTTAGTCACTTGAAATGTACCAATGAAGCTAAAATTTAAAAACAAAAAGAGAATATGAATAGTAAAGCAATGACTATTTTATGAAATGTGTTACGGTGGTCGTTCAAAACGATCTCCAATGTCATCATAAATATAATAATTAATAAGTTTAACACCTGATGTTGATTCACGATTGAAAAAAATATATTGTTCTTTTGATGTTGAACGTCCAACCCGTGGACTTAATGTCATTGAATATGGTCGTGATTTTGATTTTTTATTCAAAGCTTCATGTAAAACATATGGAGCTTGTACTGTAACATCAGTAATTTCTTGAATAATAGCCAAATCGAAATCCTTAAGAATATCAACTATAAGACCTGTTAATGTAGCATTTGTTGCTTTTGCATTTCCGTATTGATGTAAATTGAAAGAGCCAATGCGAACAGTTGAAACAAATGTGGCAGATAAAAACACCAATAACACGATAGTTGAAATGCTTTTCATTCGTTTGATTATTATTTATATCAATACTGACTTACAAAGGAAAACGTTTTATACAACTCATACATATTTTTTGTCATATATACGATTAATATATTTGATGAAGCCCGAGAAGGCCTTCATCAAAGAAAAAAATGTGTATGCTTTCTCAATGAATCACTCTCTTGAATTAGTACGCATACAGATGCTGCATCGAACCATAATTTTCTTTTTAATACGACTTGAATATGTATATTATTCTTTCGGCTTCAGTTACACATAGGCTGAAAAAAAAAGAAAATAATTGATTTTCTGTTATTATTAAGATCAATTCGCCGTATCAACTTTATTTTTATGCCTTATATGGTCTTATCTTATTATATCGAAATAAAAAATAAAAAACTTTAAAAATAGAAGCATGATAAGCTTTTCAGTAAAAGTAAATATATACAGGTCAATAATAGGAATCAACTGAAATTTTGCAAACCTATCGTATTCTATAAGATTTGCAATATAATATTGAGATAAATGAGTGCAGAAAACCTTATCGTAGAATATAAAATATAAGTGAGAGAGAATATTTTGATCGACATTATTATAGTATAGGGAAGTTGAGGAAAAAATTTTAGCAAATAACACCTCATTTGAATTCTAGAAATGAGTACATCTCGATGTTCAATATTCTTCCTTATCTTAATTATATGATCTTGGTTCCATTTAACATGATTCTTACAGCTGATAAATCTATTATATTATTATTTTATTTATTTTGGTCGTTAAAAACGAAGAGAAGAAACCATCTCATATTGACACCTACACTATGCATGTTAAATTTGACTAATTATTAAATTAACTACAAAATGTATTATTTAGAAATTCTTATACACATTTCTGTAGATATTTTATTTTTTGTATTTCATCTTCGTTTTACATACGTAAAAAGAGAAAACATAGGAAAACAGAACACTTGTTGTTTGCTGTAAAGAAGACAATCTTTATACACGTATTGTAGAATGAAAAAATAGATGTAAGGCAAACAAATCTCGAACAGAAATTATGTAAGACTCTTAGAAACAATATGAGGAAAAGAATTGTTGCTACAAATAGGAAAAGAGGAAAGAGGAAAATAAAAGAAATTACATATGTATAAGACACAGTCTATGCTCAAACAGATAGGTGATAATTATTGGATATGTCTTTCGTTTTTGTCTATAAGGGGTTATCAAATCTATGTTTAGCAATGGAAAGAGGGAAGCGGTACAATTGCTTTAGATGAAAAGAGTTTAATCGATGGTAAAGATAGAGCTTTTGATTCATTGAAAAAAACATCTGAAAACGATATTAATACTAAAGATAAATATTCAACTGATGATCAACAAAATAATACAACACGAAAAAAAAGGGACCAACAAAGCTACTTACTTCATCATCAAATAAGAAAGAAATCGATACAACTAAGAGCAAACAACATACTACAGAAAATGAATCATTCAAAGATCAAACAAATGATGACGACAGTGCAGAAACTGACTATCATGCTGAAGATAGACCATCAGCAAAACAATCGAAAACGGAGTCGTTCAGGTGATAATAAAGCTCCAACATCATCAACTAGTAAAATTAATAATCGTGTAGTAAAAAAGAGCAAAACTACATAACCAAAAATAAGAAATTATCATCTATTATATAAATATTAATCAAAAAGATGTTCCTTTTTAATTTAGTATCACTAACTGTGGTTCTCATTTATTATGATTGTAAATATAACTCTCTACTAGATGTTTTCTTCAGAATTTTCTTCATAATCAAGTATAGGTGTGATATATTTTTTTGGAATATGATGTATGGTCAGCTAATAATTTATTAGGTTCGTAAATGGACTTAAAAATCAGTAAACACAATTTATTAACACTCAGTTGCATTAAAGCGTCCGTATACGAATTGAAATCGTTTTAGTCTGGAACACTTCTGCTCTTCTTTTCACACCCTTTAGTTGTTCTACATTTGTTCTCGTTCTTTTGATTTACTTCTTTTAAATTACATATTTTATAAATAAGAAGAATCATTGTTTTAATTCTTCTTATTGTTTATTACTTCTTCCATCGTCGTTGTCTGCATCTATTTCCATGATTAAATATTTCGTGTTTTTTCAAAAAAAAAAAATAATATATTTTGAGTTTATAAAGTTTGACATATTCGTAACAATGGAAGTAGTACAAAGTTTTCTATATGAAAGCCACATATCAGATAGAGAGATGGTGAAAAAAGATCATGAAATAAACAGAAATAAAAGAACTCTTAAAAAAGAAATCAATATATTGGGTTGAAAACGATGCATTTGATAATGTTAATGAAGCAGAAGCATCAATTGCAAATTAATCTTCAAAATATTACACAAGCTATACAGAAGATGGAAGAAAACTCTATTACAGATATAAAAAAGCCAAACGGCGTGATCCTCACAAACTGAAGGTGTAATATGTTACGAAAAAAGAAAAAAATATTCATCTATGAATTCATTGAACTATTCATCGATGCTATATTTATTCCTGTGAGGTCATATATTCATTTTATTCAATGACAGCAATTGGTGCAAGCAAACAATGAACATACATTTACGTTTATGTTTTTATGCATTCTAAGCAAAGCATAAGTCAATATTAACATGAATCAGTAAAATGTTAGCTTTCTTTATCTAATCAATGAGATATTATTTATTATTTGAAAGAAACTTGACAATATGGATGTTCTCTATTCATTGTCGAACGTTGATAATCAACGACTTGATATGATAGTAGAAGAAAAAACATTCACTGAGAGTCTCAATTTTGTATTCATAACGTCATCTAAGGATATTTTGTCACTTACTGATTCAATACTTGATCGATTCTGCATAAATATATTGCCAAGAATTGATATTGATGTAAAATCTGTGATTCTTGAATCAGAATCTATCGAAAATATTCTTCTTGCTGCTAATTATCCTAACCTAACTGAACTTAAACTTTTTAATGTCAATAACGAAATCATTTCTCGTTATTTTACAGTTGGAAGTTTCCATGCTATTCGACACATAAATTTCGATAGAAACGTTGTATAGAGTAAACAATATCTAATTGTTTTTTATTTTATTTACTCAAATCCCCGTTTTATCGTATTTATTCAAAACAAAGTACAGATCTTATTCTTGTATATAAAAAACATATTCACATTTTATCACTAACAATACACGAAAGATGTGCACGATATGTTTTCAAAATTCTTCGAAACTCTAGACCACTTGTCTATTATTTAATCACGTTTATTTTTATCACTTCATAATTTACATTTGACAACGTGTTCTCCTTAAACTCTGTACAAATTATATATTTTTGTAAATCGTTTTTAAGATTGTTTTATTTTAGTTGATGCTCATCTCACGCAATTGACTACGTTTATTGTTGCGATTTCTGATGAGATTTACCAGTTACCAATTATTTACAATATGGTTAAAATTCTTCTTTTTTCAATAAACACATCAGAATATTTGTTTTTTACAATACGTTTTTTTATTGAAAAACGAGTTTTTCTGACACACGGAATAAAATATTCTCATTTCTATTATTAGTAAAAATGCTGTTTTACGAGGTGAAGTCTGCTACTGTTTAGGCAAACATTTTGAAATGTCGGACTCAAAAAATATACAATTTAGATAGAACCGTTATTAAGATGAATTGAATATAGCCTACAATGCCCTCTGCCGAATGTCTTCGACTTTTCATCCTCGTAAAAAAATGTCTCCAATATTTCGTTCTTGAAAAAAATGTTCTTCATGAAGGAACATCACTAGCTGATAAAATATCTTTGAGCTCATATTTTGCTCATCGATAGCACTCATATTTTAGGTAAAAATCCTAAAAGGATTCTTTTCGTTAGATCCTTGCTGTCGAGTTATAATCATTTTACTAAATTTCCAGTCAAGTACGGGATATTACGAGAAAATCCAATTGAGAAATTTCAATCTGAAATTTCAGCCAAAAATACATCTGATGGGTCTTACAATATCCTTAAAGTTTCAGCGAAAACGTATGCTCTATTGTCGTGGTAACAACTATGAAAAAAAAAGTCCATTCTCACAAAGTCGAGAAAGTCCGATTCATTTAACATTCAACATCTTCAGGAGAATCCTTCCAGTTGTGATGAAACTTTCAGAATATTATGAAGATCGTGAGATCTATTGTGAGCGAAATTTTAGATTTAAAATTTCGTACTTTGTCTGTGATCGTAATTCTCTGCAATGGACTGGGAATTCAGTAAAAGGATTATAATTCCACAGGAAGAGCCTAATGGAAACCATTCTATTAGAACTTTTATCTGCATTATAAACTTTACCTATGAGCAAAATATGCACTCAAACAAAGTATATGAATTAGCGAGATTTCCTCATCAGAAAATGTCCGTCATCCTCAATTGTTAGTTTTTTAAATATCATGTTATTCGAACGTAGACAACACTGTAATTCGAAAGCACTTCGACAGATACTTTAAGTGCGTATCTAGAGGTTTCATTTCTTATACAAATAAGGGTGGTTGTGGAGTGTGAGTGAAAATAGAATCTACATCTACATACACACTCACACCTTCCACCGTCTTCTACTTCATTGCAACCCTTCTGAGACTTGTACAATATTTTTAAAGCTTATTGTAAGACGACCTATGATTGTTTTATAAACAATCAATCTCTAACTGATCAAATTCAATAAAATATCATCATGGTTCCAGTTGAAGGTTTATTATGTTTCCATGTTTTTTCGTTGTTTATTTCAGATTATTCTGTGACAGATATTTTGAAAATATTCTTTTTTCTGTATTATCATATACAAAACAAATCAACAACAGTCACGTAACGAGGAATACAGTCATTGCACAATTGCCCACAAGTTCAAAAGTCATTTCCCATGAACAGTTTTCGAATGATACTTACTGCTTCATGCCGAAAAATTTTGAGAGGCACACATGTACAAAGGCCTAAGTGCTGTCATTTTATTACATTGTATCTTGTTGTCATTTAATCAAGTGATTCAGAAAGATCAACAAACTATTTTTCTCAATAAAGTCGATGGTCATAATATTGACAATTCAATGGTTTTTCTTCCCAAAATATTCGTTATTCCACTTGACTTTGTTAGTGTTCCTATTGTGCTTATTTATGCTTATTGACGTAAAATATTCAAAAACATGAAAATCGAAGAGTAAATTTTTGAAATAATAGTAAAAAAGTGAACGAGTCACCTCTTAGTTGACAGCACCGACCTTCTCTTCAATAAACATTGGTTTTGATGATGGTAACAAGTGTTAAAAAAGTGTATCCCAATTGATTTTTAATTGCCCACTATTGCCTAATTCTCAAAATAATATAGCTGGGAAACGACCTATGACTTAAAGATTCCTGGCTATGCCATGGTTCAATTATTTCAATGCATTCTTCACATGCCAGCTACTATTGGATTCATATACTGTTTTCTATTTTTATTTATAAATAATCAGGCTTTTTCCACGTAAAAACACCTTACAATAAAATTGCATGAAAACTCAATTCACTTTTTTCTGTTCAAAAAATATCGATTATGTCAAAAAACAAAACAAATATCTATAACAAAATAGTAGATAAGAAATGAAAAGGTTCTGATTAAATTTAAACAATCATTATGGTGATTGAAAGAATGATGGATTTAAGCGTAGCATTGCATATTCAAAAACATTTTGTGCATCATATAAATTTGCTTCCTTATGAAATATTGCATAATTATGTGAGCGAAATAATTCGAATAATTCATGTGTACGTTGAGATGGTGCTTCATTTTCACCAGGAGCAAGATGAATTTCAAAAAGAATTTGACGAATATAAGGTAAATCACTTTGCTTCTCATTCGAAGATTGAAATAGTTCTTCAAAAAAATTAAATTCACCACCTTCAATATCAACTTTAAGTATATGAATCTGTCGCTTTTGATGACCAAGTTCATTCATAACCATTTGTAAAGATTTTGAACTATCATATTCTTCACTACCCAAAAAAACCTGATGAAATGTACAAACATTTTCAGGACATTTAAATAATTCCATATCAAATGTATGAATTTCTGCATTTAGAAATAGTTCTTTAATTGAACTTTCAAAACTAAAATCACCATTCGAACCTAGTGAGTAAACAAGTATATGTGTAGTATTCATAGGTCCAAAACGATGTATATCACAAATCCATTTTCCACCATCACCAATATTACCAAGACGTCGTTCAAATTCACATTGTATTGTTGGTTCCCAATTATTTTGAAAAAAGAGTGGACGCGTATCCGACATACGATTACGTTTATTTTGTATATGATGAAGTATTTTTCGACGCCTCCAATCGGAGTCTGATTCACAAAACCAATTATCAGATTCTTTCATAGATAATTCACATTGATTACAATTAAGTTGTCTTGATGACGATGATGATGATCGTGCTAATGATGGAACAAGAACATTGAATATTGATGATGATGTTTTAGTTGTTATAAGAAAATAGTATAGACTAACTATAGGTATAATGAGTAAAAACGAAATTAATATTTTGCTAGTAAATGATACATCTAGTTTTTGTTTTGTTGTTGTACTTAACATTATGTTGAATTATTTTGTATATGATTGATTAAATTCTAGAAAGAAAATAAGATAACTTTTATAAATTTTGAACAATACTCTTAATAAATCATACAAAGTAACTTAATGAAACTCAGTGAGTTGGACAAAACCCTTCGAGTAGCATTGAAATTTTGTTACAATGATGTTTTAATAGTTTCCTTGATGTGTTACCTATTCTAGAACACGCTAAACGGCATAAAGTGTTTTCAGCACAAAGTTAAGAAGTCTAATCGTGTTTAAGGATGAAACACGTACTCACACACAATTATCAGCTAAGACAACATAGTTTTATACATATTTTTCTGGATAGGTTTCCACTATGTTCAATAACCGTCATCATTTCTCGTTTTTTCAAGCAAATTAACGCGGTTAATTGAATTCGTCTTTGGCGTTTTGTTTATCTGCAGACTTTTCAATTGATATATTTCAGACCGAGTTTTCGTAAAACTATTAATATTCTTGGTTTTTCGTTTTGGTGTACATAACTAATGGAAGTTGTGTAAGATAATATTATAAAAAAAAGTAATAATATATAAACCTATAATATTATACAGGGCTAGCCAAAAGTAAGAAAACACAATTTGTGTTTTGATTTGGTCGCTCTATATGAATAATAAAATCTTTTTTTAAAAGCATATACACTAGGAAAACCTAGTCAGCAGCGTAGCATATTATCAGTCTCTGGGCTCAATAGTTTGTTTCAACGGAGCTCTGATGTATCTTGAATACTGTTTTGTGACTACAGCAAAACTGATCGTTTCTGGTCGAAGGTTGTTTTTGTTTTTTTTTGCTTGATTGAACCTATTTGCATTGAGCAAATCGGTACAATCAGACGAAAAGTGATAATCAGATTCGACAAAAAAGTAACACTTCCTGTTCCAGTCACCTATGAGTATAAGAAATATACCAATGCTTTTTTTTTGAAATAAACTATTGAGCTCAGAGATTGATAATAGGCTACACCTCTAACTACAACTACTTAGTATATGTGCTTTAAATAAGAAATTTATTATTTATGTATAGAGACGAAGTCAAAAACTGGTGTATTTCATTACGTTTTGTTAGAAAAAACAAGCTTAACTATAATACAATGAAAGAGCTACTTCACGCGTGAAATACTTCGTCAATAAAAACATCATATAGGCTGAGTGGCAACGACTGAAGCGTGGCTATCTGTTTTTTTTCTTTCCTACAGCACTACTCTATTCATAAAGAGATAAATGCGCATATTTTACATATCCATAAACAATCGTATTGCTCGACGTTTCGAAAATACCTATTAGGGAGAAAAATCATACTTTTGATTTAAACGGATTACTTTTTATTACAATGCGTTGATATGGATCGATTTTTATTTGTCACATGCTTAATCACATTGTTTTTATCTATGCCGCATTTTTTTCCCTTGAAAACGTCACCTCAAAATACTATTCAAGCGTGTTTATGAGAGACACATCTTTTATCTCAATAACGCAGGTCGATCATTACCAATCCTCTGAAAACGACGTCTTAAACTGCCTAAAATGACGAAAAAACAGTGTGATTACTGCTTTACAGAATGAAAAAAGATCACTGTTTTTCACGTTTTTTTGACCGTTTTCTGTGTGTTCGGTTTTTGAGCAGTTTTTTACCGAAACATGAACAACACCGTTTAAGAATGTTTCTGACGTGAACACTTACCCTTGAATATTTCAATGAGATAAGTTTAAATAAAAGAAACTTATATTTATTCACATAAAATACTTTCTATAAATACTTTTCTGGAATAAGTCTTAACAAAAAACATAAATATATTTATTTAAATCACTTTCGATTAAAAATTTCAATCAGAGGAGTCTAAAAACAAATAGAAATATTCATTGAAATAAGATATTTACTGTTAAAAATTTGAATGAAACAAATGTAAATGAAAAACTTTTTGTTTTCAAAATAAAATATTTACTATTCAAACATCTCATTGAAATAAGTCTAAATAAAAATTAATTATATTTATTTAAATAAAACAAGTATCGTCTATCTAACGATCGACTGAGTCTCTTTTATGAAACTATCTGAACTTTTGATTGATTGTAAAAGATTAGTCGTCATATTTCACCTCCAGCTGTTGTTTTTTCAACACTATTAATTACATGTCTGTGTAGATTATTTTCTTGGTTGTCTTTATTTAATTGATGGACGTTTCCAACAACTTCGTAAATTTTATGTTAATATTTATCGAATTTCCTCTACTAGTTTAACAATCAATAATGAAGTAGAATATTTTTTGATTAATATCAAATTTATTGAACTAAATTCATTTTGACTTATATTTAATTGAGCAATAAAATAATTGAAATGAGCAATAATTAGATTCAGGAATAATTATATTGAATGAGCAATAAATGTATTGCATCAGCAATAACTATACTGAATGAGCACTAGTTTATATAAATTCAAGATAAATTTAACATAAAAAGGGCAATACGAATTCATTTATGTAAATTGTATGGTTTTTACTGTTATGTATTTACGTGAATTCGATTTATTTCGTACACACATGAAATTCGGTATATGAGAAAAAACGTAGAAAAAACAATGAGATTAAGAAGACAATAGAATTAAAAATCTGATCTCTCAAAGAAGAGAACATTGATATATATTACATAAATATCAAAAGTGTTGGAAAAATCCCATATTTAGTGTAAGATAATCATAAGAAAATTTTCAAGGTGATCAATAGGACAATTCTAATACAGTGGATGAGAAAATTTTTATGGTAAGAATTTATTTATACAAAACGTATTTTTTCAATCTTATAAAATAAAATATATAATTTATATAAATGGCTGAATCACAACGCGTAACGCAGTATATTTCTGACGGTGAAAGTGACAATGATATGGGACTAATCTCTTGAGAACAGGGTGAGGGTGAAAACCCTCACCAGAGGCAAAAGATGTGGATATTGATACTATAAGAAAAGGAGGAAGACCAGCTGAAGTAAAAAAGCTTTATTGACACAATAATATATTCATTTTTCATTTTTCTTTTTTTTTATTGTCAATTGTACATAATAATATCTTACTTTTCCTTTTTCTTGTTGCTAAAATATGAAATTACTACTGCTATTTAATGAATTAATTATTGCACATTTAATATTATAAAATTGTTCAAAGATACTTTTCCTATTGTTCAAAAATTATTTCTATATCGAATCTTAATTATTGCTCATTCCAATATTTTTATTGCTCAAATCAATACTAGCCATTGATTTTTATTGTGATGATATATTTAAAATATGGACTGTAGCTATTTTTTTCCAGAATATATGTCCGATCGATTTCTGAGATAATTTAAATTTTCTTACTTGGTCAATAAATCGATCGTATCACCGTGTTCAGTCAATATTGTACAGTCTTTTTCTTGATATTTTAGTTTCAGATCTCACGCTACTATCGATAACTTTTTGTAGTACTGTGTTATCATCTGCCTGTTGAAAATTGAAACAAATGCATGAAAGCAGCTACCGAATCTGGAATGTGATTATTTAAAATTTTATGACATTACACTTATTTTCTTGAACAATAATATTAACAGCATGAATTTCAAGTTGCTCGAAATTATCAATCAATTAGTATAGTGCACAGTATGCATTATCATTAGCGTTACTGGCAGATCGTCACCCCGTCACCTTCACTTTCTTTAGAGTCTTCCAGAAGTTTTTTGATATTGAAATTAAACTTTTCTATTCAGAAACCATTCAAAACATTGTTCGAAAATTTTCGAGCCTAGTCAACAAAGCTTGTATGTGAAAGCTATCGTATCAAAATTGATAGATATGAAAAAGAAAATAAGATTTGATGTAGAATCATTCTATTTTGAAAATATTCAAATGATTACAATGCTAGTTGACATTCAATAAACAACCTGTCATGTTCATGAGAATGTAACATATTATTTATTAATATACAAATTTTGTAGAGAGATTTCTGTAAATAAGAAAAATTATACGAGTGTGTATCGAATTGCGCTCATTTTAGAATCGACAACTGACAAAGTTCTGTCGTTTCATTTGCGAAAAGTTTCTTTTGAGCATTCTCACCTATTGAAAATGAGAGTTGTAGGTGAGGATCTCATATAAGAGATGTAGAAAAAGAAACGTGCACCGATCATCAATACATCTTAGAGTCCATATGTCAGTCACCAGTCTTAGCAACTATATCAATCTATTGATAAAAGCTTTGAAGTCCGTACTATCTAACACTAGCCCAAGACTACACTTTTGATTACTCTTTACAATTTCTTCTTATTTATTCTGTAATTCTTTGATGTATTTAAATTTATTTTCTACTAATAAAGCATTTTTTTCTACTAAGATAAATTGAAATCTTTTACTACTACTTACATTTAATAATCTAATCATTTTGCAATTCATCAGTGATAATTTGAATACTGACCATTTCATGTATTTTACTGACCATTCCAATAGTAGCCTTATATATTTCTCATATTGAATATAGCTTGTCTCTCTGTGTGCCTATATGAACGATCGATTACAACATGAACACATACAATAAGGATTCAGTTTGACTTGAAAATGTTAGATCTAATATTAGAATCAAGTCTTGAATGTTCACTTGATATCAATTTGATTGCATTCAATTTCTGAATTCGATATTTATTTAGATTAAACTTATATTAAAAAGAATACTATATTCAATTTCATTTTTGTACTGAAGGTACTTGCATTTCTTTCGGAATGAAAACAATAATTATTTTTTCGGTGTATTTTATTTTAGTTTAGTTTTTACCAGTTGATATCAAATTTAACCGGAAAATGATCACTGATATCAAGTGCTTGATCCAACGTTATATTAAAGCGTTGTTGAAATTTTACTGTCATATTACTGCCTGATACAATAGCATTAAAAAACTTGTCACCATTAACAAGAATACGATCATATGTACATGTTTGTCTTGTATTTGTTTTAATTTCATTATTAATCATCCATACAAAATCAGCATAATCAACAGAACTAAAAAGAAAATTTTTAGATAGAAAAAAAAAATTGTAGATAATTTTTTCTGCAGTTGTATAAACAAACCGAAGTGACTTTTGCCGTGTGAGTGAAATATATGAACAATCGGCATTTAAATCACCCATAATTAATATAGGATGATTTGTTCTCAAACTTGGTTTATTAGTACTTGTTGCATTTATTACATTTTCTTCTAAAGCTTCAGCTAATGACGTTGATGTTTCATTAAAATATTGAGCATTTTTAAGAATAAAATCTTCTATAACATACCGCATATTGAGAAATTCTTGATAAGCAGCAGTAGGTTTTGAATGAAGGTTCATTATAGTAAAATATGTCACTCCTGATGTACCATTTCCAGTCACTTGGAATGTGCCAATAAAACTAAAAATTAAAATAAGAGAATATATAAATAGTAAAGTGAAGATTATTCTGTGAATATTTTACGGTGGTCGTTCAAAACGATCTTCAAGATCATCATATAGATAATAATTAATAAGTTTAACACCTGATGTTGATTCACGGTTAAAAAATATATATTGTTCTTTTGATGTTGAACGTCCGACACGTGCACTTAATGCCATGGTATATAGATTTGGAATTGATTTATTATTTAAAGCTTCATATAAAACATATGGAGCTTGTACTGTAACATCAGTAATTTCTTGGAGAATAGCCACATCGAAATCATTAAGAATATCAACTATAAAACCTGTCAGTGTAGCATTTGCTGCTTTCGTAGGTCCATATTGATGTAAATTAAATGAACCAATTTGAACAGTTGAAACATATGTGACAAATACACACACCAATAATACGATAGTTGAAATGGTTTTCATCCTTGAAATTATTATTAAGATGAATATTGTCTTGTAAATGATAGATATTTTATACAATTTATAGATATTTTACCCTTAGTGATGAATGAATACTTGATCAAGCAAGGTAAGTTTCCATAAAAGAAAAAAAATGCGTATTTTTTTTTCATGAGTCACTCTTTTGAATTACTCACAATAGAAGCGCTTGATCAACCGACAATTTTCTTGTTGTTTTCTTTTTGTATAGAGCTGTAAATTATCGAAATCGAAAACGCCAAGAGTGCAAAATATCGTAAGACAAACGTCAAAAAAACATCACAAAGTCCCAGTGTCGAAGAAGTGACAGATCGAAAATAATGAATATCGAAAAAACAATAGCAAATGTATAAAATGTCAAAATGTATCAGTATCAAAAAAGAAACCGTCCAAAATCAAAATATAAAAAAAGTACGATATTGATTGAGACCATGTAAAATTTTTCAAATACTGCTTCATCTATTAGTTTAGTGCGTCAAATGAAAGAAAAGATAGATTTTTGTATTGTTGCTAAGTGCAAGAATAATAAAAGGATGCCAAAGTAATTGCGTGAAGAGAACAATGACAGCTCGTTCTGCAGTCACATCCACACTCAAACCCAGATCCAAATCTGTTCACATTGGTATATCTTTTCTCTAGTCTAGATTAGAATTTTTTCGATATTTTTTCCAAGTTTTTAAGCCTTTTTGTTATCTTTTTGACATCTAGTTTTTGACGTTCATCCTTTCAGAGTATGCATTTCGGCACGTTTTTTTTCTTATGTTTTTTGTCTTCGATAATTTACCTCATCGATATGTTTCTTTTCAATGTTTTGCCATGTAATTATGATTTGAATACACATATATATAATCTTCTTTAGGCTTTCATTAAAATATTGTCTGAAGAACAAGAACAGAACTCATTTTTTGCTTTTGTTAACATCAAATTGTAATACCAACTTTATTTTTATAATGGATAGAGTCTTGTTTTATTGCACTAAAATGAAAAAGCTTAAAAAAATACATAGATAAACAACTTTTTAGTCAATATATGTAGGCATAAATAATAATAATCAACTGAACTTCAAAAAACTCAATAATATTCAATATGATTTTCACTGTAAGATTCTTAATACACTGTTACAATAAATGATTCCACAGAATTCCATTGTTCAAAATAAAATATAAATAAGAGAGAATAGATTGATCAACGTTATTATAGAAAGGAACAATACGGAAAAAATTTTTCCGAGCAACTGTTTTTTTCCAATAACTTTTGATGAAAACTAGAAAGAGCTACGGTTTTTTCCTTGTTTTTAAAAAAAATTGTTTAATATAAAAGTTGTACAGCTCCAATTTTTACGAGCGCACCAGGACCATTAACTGAAGATTTATGAGTTATGTCAGTCCGGCGTCGAAAGGTTAAGCCAATCATGAGTTATACACATATTACTGCATTTTATCGGCAGATTTTTCATAAAAAATTGACTTTCTTCTCATTTTTAAGGGAAAATGCACATCTAGAAGAATATTTCTGATAGAAACAAACCAAAAACGTCGACCACTAAGATCCATCGAAAAGTTGTATATCGACTGAGTCTAATCAGTAGGAGAAGCGTCAGCAAGCCAATAAAAATTGAAATATTTATATCTACATAAGCTCTGGGAAGCAATTTTTCCATACCAGTAAAACATGTAGAAACAATCGGATCTAGGGTAATATTCCTTTTGTAAGCGTACAGCAACATCATGTCAATCTTTGAGAGAAAAGTGATTGATTTAGTCTATTATTGGCCAATATCTTATTGTCATTTGAAAAAAAAATACAGAAGCACTAGGTTCACATCTTTTTATAAGTGTTGATGAAAACATTCTTCTGACATCCTTATTCAATTTTCACAAACATATACACAGTAGATTAGATTGATTACTGTTTCTCTTTATTTAAAAATGAGAAATTTCTTTTAGCAAAATTCTTGGAATTGTTTTCTTCATGTGAGTAATGCAGTGGCGGATCTAGAATTTTAGAAGGGAAGGGCGATTTTCGAAAGATGCGACGGTTATAGGCAAAAATCACTTTTTGAGACTTATGTGAGGTAGTAAAGACCAATTGTTCATACGTTTTTGCTGAGAAAAAACAAAAAAAAATCTCTGGAAGGGGGAGGCGATCGCCTGATCGCCACCCCCCTAAATCCGCCTCTGGAGTAATGATAAGTCTTCCAAAGAAAGCTGAACTAGTTGGAATCAAGATTGTAACGAGGTGATGTACTCTCATCTGTGTCCATTTGAGTCGTTCGTCCAAGTTCACGTTGGACAGAACAGCAGAGTTTCATCCCATTTACCACACAGCGTTGTCGATGACTAGCTCGACAACAACCGCCACTCTGCCACCATGTAACACATTGTCCATTGACAGATGTATTTGTTATGAAGAGAAAGGCAAAAAATACGGCAAGAAGAATCAATTGAATTCGAGCCATAATATGTAAATGTATATGTATAAGAGTTAAACAGAAATAAACTTGTGTATGAGATGTACGAATGCACATTTGCGTTATTATATAATAAGCCATTTTCAATTGTAGGAAATCTTCTTATTGTCCCAATAGTTTCGCATTACTTTTGAGCAAACAAATACTGTCTCAGATTACTTTTTGTGATCAATTTTTGTTTTCGGTTAATTTGTGTATTTGAGTCCAATGTTTTGTTTTTCTAGTTAGCAATGGTTAGAGAACGATCTAAGGTAGAGGTCTGCGGGACAGTCCCAAATTTCTCCTCACAAAAAAATGTGTTTTGTTCTGTGTCTTGAACCATTTGGGATTGTCCTGAAACGTTTCTACAAGCAAAATTTGGAAGCCGAATGCTTTGAAAAAACCGGGACAAGACAAATAGAATTGAAAAGATGAAAAAAGTTTGACTCATAAGACTAAAGTGTTAGACTCGTACTAGATGGCATGAACTCCAGAGTTCCTGTTGACAGAATGATATAGCTGCTAAGACTTGGTGCATAGTACTTTTTTTACACCATACATATAAGATCTTTACCTAAAACTCTTATTCTTGGCAGGTGAGAATGCTTAAAAGAAACTTTTCGCAAATGAAACAACAGAGCTTTGTCAGTTGTTAAGTCTAAAATGAGATGAATTCGATGCAAACTCATATGACATTACTTATTTACACGGGTGTTTCTACAAAATTTGTGTATTAATAAAGTATGTGATGCATTCTTATGAACGTGACAAGTTATTTATTCAGTGTCAACTAGCATTGCAATCATTTAAATCTTTCAAAATAAAATGATTATATGTCAAATCCTATTTTCTTTTTTATTACTATAAATTGCGATACGGTAACTTTCACATACAAGGTTTGTTGATTAGGCTCAACAAATTTCGAGGAATGTTTTGATTCGCTTCCAATTACGAAAATTCAACTTTAATATCAACAAATCCTGGAAGACTCTAAAGGAGCTGAAGGTGACGGCGTAGCTATGAGCCAATAACGTCAATGATAATTCATATTGTACCTGGGTTCGTTTTCATTTTTTAACATTTCCAATAGTCTGTGATCTTAATTCTTGAAGAATTGTAAGACTCGTAAAATAATGTTAAGAGAAATGATACTACAGAACTTCATTATTGGATATAAAATAGAAAAGAGAGAGAAAATAGATTCATCACCGTTATTATAGTGCAGGCAAAATAAGGAAAAACTTTTTCCAGAACTTAATACTTCGTTGGATTTACGCAATCACGATGAGTATTGGGTATGGAATTAGTACCTGCATACACTCCAGTGCGGTCGATTAATAAATCTATCAGTCTAGTTTTCAATTTTCTTCTGTATTTGAAAAAGATTCAATTAGTACTGCACTTGTTTCTCATTTTTCTACACTATAGATTATATAAAGGGTGCCAAATAAGTTTTCATCCTCTTCAAGTAATAGCCCTTTCTTATATGATTTTTCGGTAGAAAAGGCTAATATTTACCGCATATACAGTAGACACCTAGATCTACTCTATGGTAGAATTTCAGCTTTCTATCTCTTATATTCATAGAGATACAAGTAACTCAAAATTGATAGGAATTTTTTGAAATAGTAAACGGATGGGCCAGAATAAATGACTGCGTTTTGTATTTCATTTTCTTATCATCTAATGAGTTGTATTAAAAAACAGAATATACCACAAGATGCAGCGTGAAAAGCTCTATAACCTACATAGTAAAGTTTATTTTAATTGTGTACCTTTTGTTTTAAAAAAATGTGAGACCAATTTTCGATGCTACGGAAATTGGTCGCATTTTTATTTGAAAATAAAAGATACACAGTTAAGATAAGTTTTACTATGTAGATTGTAGAGCTTTTCACACTGTATCTTGTGGTATATTCTGTTTTTTTAAGAAAAAGTATTAGATAATAAAAAGATGAAATAAGAAAAAAGGAATTTGTTCAGGTAGAAAAAAAGTGATCTTTGAGCATCATCGAAATCGGTCTCATAGAGTATTCATTTTTTTTTGAAAACAAAAGGTACACAATTAAAATAAGCTTTACTATGCAAATTATAGAGTTTTTCATGCTGCATCTTGTGGAATGTTTTGTTTTTGAATGCAACTCAACAGATAATAAGGAAATGAAATACAAAACACGGTTACTCATTCTGGCCCATCCTTTTTTCTAAAAAAATTCCAATGAATGTTAAAGTACTTGTATCTCTATGAATATAAGAGATAGAAAACTGAAATTCTACCATAGAGTAGATCTAAATGTCTAATATATATACTGTGAATATTAGCCTTTTCTACCGAAAAATCATATAGGAAAGGGCTATTACTTGAAGGGGATGAAAACTTATGTGGCACCCTTTATTTGAAGTAATTGCAACTGTCAGTTCTACTCAGATTTTCATATAACCTTTAAGCATTTTTGATTATCTGATGCTGCTGTCATACTTGACGAACAATAATCAAAAAATGGAGGAACTACTTAGAATTAGCTGAAAACTCTAATTTTACTACCAGTTTAGACTGATTTCACCACTTTTTATTCATTTTTTGTCAAGTACAACGAGCGCATCAGATCAAGCGACTAAAACTGGTTAAGTTACACTTGAAGATTTGACCAGATTTGAGAGATCTACGTACCGAATATATGTAATCTTTAGTGTAAAAAAGATCAGAAATTAATGTTTCCCTACATTCAATATTCTTTTCTGTCTTAATTACATGATTTTGGTTATATTCAACATGACTGTTACCGACTGTAGATCTAGTATATTATCACTTCGCTCTTTCGCTCGTCAGAAACTTTGACAAGAAACTATATCAAATGGATACTGTCATTGTGTATGTTAACTTCAACTAGTTATTAAATAAACTAATAATCTATTATTTGGAAATTTTTATATACATTTCCGTAGATATTTTATTTATTGTATCTCATCTTCGTTTCACATACGTAAAAATAGGAAAAAAAAAGAAAACTGAACTCTTAGTGTTTGCTGTAAAGAAGACAACCCTCATACACACATTGTAGAATGAAAAAATAGATGTAAAACAAACAAACAGGGAACAGAAGATATGTGTAAGATTCAAAGAAGTGGTATGAGGAAAAGAATAGTTTTAACAATTGAAAAAAAAAACAAATAGAAAAAAAAAAGAACGATGTATATATAACAGACAGTACATACTCACACACATACATATGATCATTCGCCAACAAAGAAAGTATATCAATTGTAATATCAATGAAAACAAAAAAAAAAACATTTTTTTTTATTTTAAACGAAATTATCTGGTGGAAGAAAAAAAAAAGAAACGAAAGAGTTCATGATATATGTATATAAACAATAATGGCACGTTATTTGAGATTGAACAAGGAGACATGACGATTATTATTATTATTGTGATTTTGATTTAGAAAAAGCCAAGTGGTTTTTTAATATTTGTTTGTTTCCAATATGGTAAAGCATAAAATTCATCTTTAGTCATATGAAATTCTTTCTAAAAAAAAAAGTATCGGAAAAAGGAAAATATAGCTTAAAAAACCAAAAAAAAAAGAAAATAATCATACCTGAAAATCATCATCCGAAAGATAAAATTCAATTTTTGATGGATCAACACCTTTAAAAATAAAAGTTTATTTTTCTTTAGTGCAATAAAAATTTTGAAATTTATACCTTCTGGTAATGGACGAGCTCGAAGTTCTTCAATAGTATACTGTTCACGACATAAATTTGCAAGTATATCAGAAACTGAATCTTTTTGATCTAATTTTTTGCCTTCCTAAAAAAAAGAACAAAAAAAGATTTCATACATACATTAGCAAATTTGATATGAAATAAAAGAAACGAACCAATTGGTTTTGTTGTCGAGCTTTCATATGAATCGTCCATTTTGGAAATAAATTAATAAAATCAATAGGTTCTAAACCAGCATATACTATTGAACAAAATAAATCAACAGTTGCTGAACCGGTTTTTACTAAAAGTAAGAAGAAAAAAGAACAATTTTTCATGAAAATAAAACTTTAAAAAAAAAAAAAAAAAGAATTTTACCTTTACAATATTCAACAGCTGTAAGAAAAGCACAACGACGTTCAGCTGCAAAACGTAAATCTCTTGGACTACCAGCTTGTATATTTGCATTATAAAGTTGTAAATCAAGTTCATCATCAGATAAATCATTCCATCCTTGCCATATATATAACTCTGTATCAGTATCAATTAAACATAGAGCTGGTTGTTGAAGTTCATATAAATCTGCTTGAGTAAATGGAAATGCTGATATATGATCAGGTGATCGAAGAGGATAAACAAGTTCTTGAGCAACAAAAGGACCATGAAGACTTGATAAATGAAATATACGCATAGTTGCAGTTAATTTTTGATTTGATCGAACTATGAAAAAAAAACAACAAGAACAAGCAATATAAAAATGGCCAAAAATAGCACTACAATGAAAAAAAACTTGAAATGTCTTCGTATTGGTTCAATCAGTATTCATTTAGAAAAAGCTGATTTATCAGCTGAAGGACTTTCCTCATAAGTTTTTTCTTAATAGTTGGAGTTTATTGCAAGTTTGTTTTTTTTTTTTATACAGATAAACAATTCGATCTGTAATTCAAAGAAGAAAAATATATGTATAGCGTCTCATAGATTATTTTTTTGATCTGATCCAACAGAATAATAACCAGAATTCAAAACAAATTTTATGAATAATTTCTTGTTAAAATATGTTCACAGTTATAAAATTTCGATTTTTCAATCATGGAGCACTAGTTTTTTCAAAAGAAATTGGTATTTTTGGCGTTTCAATTATTACAATTGTATGTTTTACTTATGAAGCACAAAATTTTAGCATTTAAACTGACTAATTTTGAACAATCACTTTTAGTTCATACTTCTATTTATGATTCGACTTGTAGATTCCAAAGTTTTCGAATTAATAAAGAATATACTCATACAAATATTTTATATAAACTTATTGAAATATTACCATTTAATAAAGAATAATATTTTCTTTCATGTGTTGATTCATTGATTGCATTCCAAAATAAATCTATTTCATTGCCTTC